TTTTCCCAGATGAACATGGCTAGGGCCCAGTCCTGAATCACAGGGCTCGGTCTGAGAGACACTAGGCACTGAAGTATCCCCAGGGTGTTCTGAAAGTCCAGAGACAAGAATTCAGTATGGGGAAGGAGAATGGAAAGTGGCTGGGGCTGTGCCCCCTTGAGTGCCCAGGGGAGGACCAGGGTACTCTGATCTCTCTCAGAAGTGGTCACCCTTGAAGGCAAAAGAGCGGGTTTCCTGACAGTTGTCACCTCAGGCCTGGCCTCAGGCCTCTGTCTACTTGGCATGCCTCTGAGATTTCTGCTCAGTTAAGGCTCAGCCCTTGCAGCCGTGTGGGGACCGTCTGACCTCTGCTGTCTACCATCTGTCATGGCACAAACTCAGAGATGGTCACCGACTCAGAGGAGGCACTTTTCTCCAACTTTCCACAGTGACTCCCAGTATTAACTTATTTTATACTGTGACATACACAAAAGTTTCACAAAGCAATTCTTACCTTTACTATGTGTGGACACTCTTATATATTCTATACATTTTATTTTTTACTTCATTAATAAGAAAAATGCTAATTATAATCAGGCTTTCTCCTGGAGTTCAAAAAACCTTCACTTAGGGAACTAAATTAGTACCTTATTTCCCAAATGTCAGTCAGTGTGTTCCACATCACTTTCGAACCTCTGGCCACACCCAAGGCCAACTGTTTACGGAGAACTTGATTATTTTTTCTTTGAATCAATTCATTTAAACATTTAAAAATGCCTACTATAGTCAAGGTCAAATACTGAGGAAGCAGCAAGTTTGAGGGCTAGGTGCATTTTTTTAATCTAATATACACGAAAGAAAATATTTAATTATCAAAATAAAAAATGTTTCCATACCTTCTAAAATCATCTTGCACAGCAGTAGTGTCTGCATTCCTTGTCTTGGGAATCTTAGATCTACAGATTAGTCCAAACATCTCATTTTCAGTGGGCGCAGTGAGGCCCAGAGAGGTGAATTCACTTATCCGAGGTCTAGTTCCTCAGTTAGTGGGAAGGTCAGTCTGGTCACAGGAGGGGAAAAAGGAAACAAAGTCTACCAGTCTTATCACTTTTAGAGAGAGCCCCCACCCTGTCATCTCACCAGAGCCCAGATGTCAGTTTATCATGACCTTGGCAGAGCCACTTTAAGACCTGGGTCTTAGACACCCTTATTTCTGAAGGTCCTGGTCCATATCATATCACACATATTACAATGTGTGCATCTTGAAACTTACTAATTTCAATTTTGTTGTTTTCTTTCTGTATTTTGAAGTCAATGAATTTTTCAAACTACAACCACTTTTGCAGCCCCCTACGAAGTTCACAGCCCCTAGGTTTACAACCTGCCGTGCCTAACGGATGAAGTGGCCCTGGATCTGGTAAAGGAATCTGATTTAAAAAACACACTAAAGAGCAACTTAATGACTTCAGCCCTCTCCTCTGGTATCTGTAAAGGGGAACATGGACAGGCCATTGACATCTAAACGCGTGAGTTTCCAGTGGAGAAATCTTTGCTGTTCTGGGAGACCGGAGCGAGCGGTGCCATTGCAGGTGGGGCCAAATGCTGCGTAACTGGCAAAATGCTCTTACTCTAGGCCTGTTTCCTCAGTAAGTAAAACAAAGGGATTAGATTCGATTGATGGGATTAGATTTGACTGATGACTCTCAAAATATATTTCAAAAATGAGGGCAAAATCAAGATTTTACTGGACATACAAAAACTAAGAGAATCCATCACCAGCAAACCTGCACTAGAAGAAATGAGTAAGGAAGTCTTTTAAGCAGAAGGAAAATGTTGCCAGGTGGAAATCTGGTTTACACACAGGAAAGCACCCAAAATGCTAACTATGAGGCTAAATATAAAAAGCTTTCAAAAGTTATCACTTAAATTTCTTTTAAAGACAATCAACTGTTTAAAAGCAAATATGCTAACAATGTACTGTGCCGTTTGCAACATGTATAAGTAAAACGTACGAAAACAAGAGCAAAAAGGCCAAGAAAAACAGAAGGATACTCTTGTAGGATTCTTATAGTGTGTGTCAAGTCGTACAATATCACATTAAGGTGGAAGATGATAACTTAAAAATGTATACTATAAAGCCTCATGAAAACTACTAAAGTAAAAAAGAATGAGTAAGCCAACAAAGGAGATAAAATGGAATAATTAAGAATACTAAATTAATCTTAAAAAAAAAAGAAAAGGGAACAAAGACCAGAGGGAACAAATAGAAAACAAACAGCTAGATGGTAGATTTAAATCCAGCCACATCAATAACCACAGAAAATATAAATTGTCTAAACAGCCCAATTAAAAGGCAGAAATTATTAAGTTAAAAAAACAAGATCCAACTATATAATACTAACAACAAATTAATTTTGAATATAAAGACACAAATAGGTTAGAAAAAGATGCACTGTTCTAATAATAGTCAAAAGAAAGCTGGGGTAAATATCACATATTGTTGAAAGCAGGGGTGTAAGGTCTCCTCAAAAAACAACATTATCTTTCCCCTCTGAGAGCTCCTGCCCCGACATCTGACCGAGGCCACTACGCCTTTCCCACAGCAAATCTGCTACGAAGTGGGGTGCTTCCCCTAATGGGCCATGCTCTAGCTTTCTAAGCTGCTAGAATCTTCAGGGTTTTTCAACCTTGGTACTATTGACATTTTGGGCCAAGTGATTCTTTGTTGTTGGCGGTCCGGTGGGGACATGACCCTGTGCATGGTAGGATGTTTAGTGGCATCCCTGGTCTTCACCCACCAGATGTCATTAGCATCCAACCCCCAAGGTTGTGACAGAAATACCTCCAGACATTGCCAAGCGTCCCCTGCCGGGCAAAACTGCCTTGGGTTGAGAACCAACTGTTATAGATCAATTCAGCTGTTCTTCAGCCACCCCAGGAGAACCTGGGACTAGGACTACACATTGATATCCATGCCAACCCCCCCCAAACCCCTCCCAAAACCCCCAAAATTTGAACTTTGGACCTTTAAGGCCTACTTCCCGGGAACAGTGTAACATTGCCTGTGAAAGTCAAGTTTTCTGAAGCATCTGCATCACACTTCAGTGCAAATTTTCTCCCTTATTGGTGCCTACCAAAGGTCTACAGGCAAGGAGAAGTTGGGTAGGTCAAGGCAGATCCTGTGGGGGTGACAGAAGGGGAAGAGGTGTTTATCCAGCTGGTGCTCCCTGGAGAACAAGATCTCAAATTCACTCATGGGGCATAAAATGAGGGAGATAGACTGGCAGACGATTGTCGTTCAGTCCTCTGGCTTTAAATACCATCTATGTCCTGATGACCCCACATTTTATATTTCCAATCCTCTCCTCTCTTACGGTAGCCAGCCTCTTGCTTTCAGCTGCCACTCAGTCTACTTGGGTACTTGATAGCACCTGAAATTCAATAAGGCCAAAATAGAACTGATTTTCCCTCCTGAAGCTGATCTTCCCTTAGTATTTCTCCCCCTAGTAAATGGCACCACCGTACACCAAACTGCTCAAACCAAAACTCAGAAGTCATCCTTGATTCTCTATTATTCCTCTTCCCTCACCTTTCTTATCCATCAGTCATGTCAGCTCCGCCTCCAGAACACACCCCTAATCTGCTCCCTCTTCTCCAGCTCCACTTCTGCCACCCTAGTACAGCCACTGTCAACTCTTACTGGACCATGGCATTAGCTTTCTAATGAGTTCCTGCTTCCTCTCTTGCCTCTTACATCAGGGGTTCTCAGCCTCACACTACTGACATTTTAGACTAAGTCTCCAGTCCTTTTGGGGGGAGGGTGTGTGTGTGTGTGTGCGTGTGTGTGTGTGTAGCTGTCTTGCGCATTTTAGGATGCTTAGCAGCATCTCTGGTCTCCACTCACTAGATGTCAATGGCATCCTCTCCCACCCCCCAAATTGTGACAAAAAAGTCTACAGACATTGTCAAATGTTCCTTGGGGGCTAAAAATCACCCTTGGTCGAGAACTACCACATTCTAACATAAGAACTAGGATATTTTAAAAATACAAATTGCATCATGTCACTCCCATGCTGAAAACCCTCCTAATGTCTTCCCTTCGGCCTTAAAATAAAACTCAAGCTCCTTATGGTGGCTTTCAAGACCCTCTAAGGACTGGCCACTGCCTACTTCTCTAACATCCTCTCTTCCATATATTACTCTCCTTCTCTAAGCTCCAACCACACTGGTCTTCTTTCTGCTCCTTGAACATTCCAAGCTTGCTCCCCTCCACTCTTTGAACTTGCTATTTACTCTACCTAGAATGCACTTCGCAGATCTTTGCACGGTTCACTCTTCACTACACAAGTCCCAGACCAAATGTTGCCTGAACTGCAAGGCCTTCCCTGACCATTTTATCTAAAGAACCCCCTTACATACATTCTCTATCCCACTACTTGTTTATTTCCTTCATGGTGTTAGTCACAACTGAAAACTCTCATTTTGTCATTTGTTGTCTGCCTCTTCACCAGAGTGTATGCTCCCCAAGCACCAGGACCCTATTTGCCTTGGCCACTGCTGTAGCCCCAGTGCTAGAATAATGCCTGGCGCAGAGTAGGTGCTCAATAAATATTCCTCCCCTGCACCTCCTCGAATCACAGGTCAAGATTCCCTTTTAAGACTATTCTTGATTCCTGATGTGGACCTTCATTTTTCATTTTGACCTACATTTGGCCTATGTTAAAACATATGTGGCTGGGGCTGCCATGCACAACGGCTTAGCACAAAGAACTGCTTATTCTGAAACATAAACAAAAGCCAACTAGTTAATTAAGAAAAGCCTGTTCTTTGCCCCTCAGTTTTCGGTAGGTATACAATCATTCCACCAGTCATGATTTCGGCTTGCTGCCTGTCCCTAAATATGAAGCAGCGAAAGTCATTCAGGGGGCTAAGAATCCAAAACTCACCTGGGTCAGAGGTTCAAACAGCCTCTACGTCCATCAACTCAATTTACACAGTATCTAGGGCCTGAAAACTTTTTTTGCGGTGGCTTCAAGTTAAAATAGTTCATTGGGTCAAAGGCAGGATGGTCCAAGGTGCAGCAGGGTCAATGAATGTTGGCTGAATCCCGAAACCGCATCTTGGCTTTTTCTCACATTGATTTGTGGACCGTTTCCAGGAAACCAAAGATGATGGGCCCATCTGGCAGCAGGCTGCCTTCGAACTGGCTGCAATTCTGCCCTGGCCAAGGGCCACGGACCTCTCAGGGCCCCAGGAAAGGAAGCATCTCATCGGGCCCTTGGGACATTCTGGCGGGCGGCTGGCCGCTCCCGTCGCGGCGGGCTCTCCACGCGGTGCAGAGACGTCTCCACCCGCAGGGAGGAGGCCCTGACTTGGCGGGAGGACGTTTCCGTACGCTGTAAGGAGGTTTCCACGCGCTGGGAGGACACCTCGAGGACGCGAGGGAGCAGCTTCCCAGAGGGGGGGATGGAGGGCCCCTCGCTGCAGCGCTGGGTGGTCTCCACATGCCGGGAAGATGTCCGCACCTGGCGGGAGGATGTCTCCACGAGGTGGGACGAGGTCTCCACGCGGACAGTCGACGTCTCCTCGTAGCGGGCGGCCTCCCCCCGGGACGGAGAGGGCTTTCCCCGAAGGGGTGAGGCCATTCTACGGGGTAACAGGGATGAGCAGGCCTCGAGAGGCCCCACCGCCTCACGCTCCCCGGCGGGTTACGTCACGGGGTGAGGAGTGACGGCACAAGCCATTGTGACGCACCGCAGGGGTGCACGAGAGTGCAACGACACAGGGACGCGGAGGCACGGTGGTCCTGGGGTGGGGAGCAGGTGACGAC